CTCTCTACACAGAAACTACAGGTGAAAAATTACATTTAAAACAGAGGGAATTATCTAATATCTTAAGTGGATAAACCCTTTCTCATCTACCCCTCAAGGTCTGGCAAAGCCAGAGGCCAAAAAGCAAATATAGTTATCTCCAACAACCCTCCTCCTCCCTGAATCTGTGTAAGGGTTGAGGCTGAAGGCTGTTAGCCAAGGACAACACCCTTCCAAGGCAAATCTTAAAAAAGTGTGGTAATCTGACTGAGTTTTATCTGAGAGGGTACAACTGTAGGCATAGCTGAACACAACTACACAGAAATGTCTACAAACAAGGGCTGAGCAAATGGTCTTTCAGTGTGTGTTCAGCCCTTGTGTGTGCAGCAGCAGCCATTTGATATGGCTGTTGATATGTAAGATTTGTAAAGGCATCAGGCACAGAGACCTGAAGAAGGGTTCCAGGCAAGTAAAGTTAATCCATTAAGTACTCCAACTTCCATTAATTAAGATGTTGTGCATTAGGAAAATCTAAACTCAGATACAAATATCATGATACCTGTGGGAGAGGAAAAACCCCTGCCAGGTAGTATTTAGTTGACAGATTTCATAAAATGAATGACTCATACCAGCACCACTTGAAGAGAACTCAGAAAACCGTTTCTGTGGAAGGATTACTAAGAACTAATATTTCAAAGTCTGTTAAACACATAGAAGAGCCACACATGCGGATGTTGAACAGCTGTACTTTATCAACAATTTGAAACATGCTCTTAAATCCAAAAATATTAAAAGGGTGCAGGGGGATGTGTTTCTCCTTACATTTCAGACACCAGGAGACCACGCAGCATGGGAAAGGTAGGGCAGTGCTTGGAAAGACAGTCTTGTTTCTTGCTTAAACCGTACATGGTTTTTTACAGACTCCAAGCTGTTACTGATATGCACAGGAGCTGGCACTGCTCAGGCTCTCTGAAAAGCACCCTGACAAGCTGTCAAGCTGACTACTGCCATTCAAGATGACTTTTGGATGTGACTCATCTGAAATAACACAGGAGTCTTGGGGAAAAGAAGCAGAAACATTCTCATGTCCTAGCCTTAAATCTTCTCAAATTCCCAAGAGATGTTGTACATGATGCATTGATAACTCAGTCTATACTCCTTATTGGCTACAAAACCTGGTGAAAAAAACTCATTAAAAGAGAGTAACATGGATTAAAATTACCTTCAATCCAAATATAAATCTTTTTCCAATGAAACAGGTTTCCACTGCTTGAACTAATGCTCCTGTAAATGCCCCTGCATTTGTTTCTCCTGACAGCTGATTGAAGTCTTGAATATACCTTGAGTAAAAACATACAGAAGTATTGGACTGACAAGGAAGCCCTATGTAGTATTTGAGCTGTACTATAGTGCTAAAGAGGACACGTGCTAAGGAGAAAATTTTGTGGTAGTTTAAACTAAACACAGAATGAAAACAGGAACCTATGAATTCGACTGCTTAGTTCACTTAATTTGTTAGTGAAATAGAAGTAAACAAAACAACCACTCTGAGTAGGTTTAATACACTCACAATTTTCGGGTGTTCCCTGTGTGGTTGTGATTTTTCGATGAACACAGTGACTATATAAGGCTGTCGATATGCTGCTATTGCTTACACATCCTTCCTGCCCAGACCTTTACAGCATGGCAGTATCCATACAAGGAGAAAAACTGCTTTTCATGGCTGACAGCAGTACAGTAGTGTAGGGCAGAATGCCTGCCATGAGTATATTATTAATGCCGCTAATATGGGATTAAAAAAGCATTTGTCTTTGAGCCAGTGATAAAACAAGGCACTGGAAAAATAACAGACTAGAGAAAGAAGCAGGGAATGCATCTGAATATCCTATCGAAGCAGTTTCACATTTCAGAAAATCTGAAGCCTATAATGTGCGTTGTCAGGCCCTGAGGACTAACAGGCGTTCTTAGAAATCCCTTCTCTCTAAAGGAGAATCTGGTCATACTAAAGAAAAGTCAAAAGTGCATCCAAACTGTTAAAAAATCAAAACCCAGAGGCTCTATCTCAAATAAAGAAGAAAGGACACAAGGAAGAAGCCAAACCAACCAAACTGTAAAGCTCACTTAGCTGCCTTCAACAGACAAGTGGAGGATTTCTTCTACTACCTAAAAGCAACCCTAGATGCAAAGGTTTCAGGGGAAAAAAAATAAAATCAAATTTCAGCATTTTCTCAAGGTGATTGGTACTAAGGAAATGCTGGAACACTTCAGCAGCTTCTTCCCACTCGTTTCCCCATCATCTAGGCTCATCTCAATGTTTTTAGGCTGAATAAAAAGCAGCAGCTATACGGTCAGACAGAATCCATTCCTTACCTCTGCAGATTTTCTGCGGTGACCCCAAAGAATGGATCTAAGCAACTTCCAAAAACAGTGATGTCAAACAAATCACTAGTGTCAGCAATCTTTAGGGACAATCTATATCTGTAGCTTGCATCTTTAGCTTCACCGGTGCAGCCACATTTTAGACAATTAAACCTGACAAAAGACAGTAAAAGGATAAAAAAGATTGAATGCATGAACTTCTGTTAATCACTGCTGAGGTAAGAAGTTACCAGCAGTATTACTACTATAATGTATCAAATATTCCATCAAAAGCTGTAAGATGTTTTTTCTTCTTCTGTACTTCCTGAGGCATTAATCTTACCAAACTCTCAGAGCAAGGTGTCCGTATCATGACAGAATGCCTCTGGCTTCTTTTACTAATGTATTAAATGCTACCCTCTTGTGAAATTGGAGAGTCGGTGGGCTTTGAGTGACTGTTGGGGTGTAATTTTCAATTCCCTACACTCTGATTTTTCAAGTTTTATTCTGGTTTGGGATTTTTCATCCTGCAGCATTAGTATAAATACCTAGGTTTAAAAAAAATCATCAGGACCCAGCACTGTCACCTTGTACTTCAGCATTTGAAACAACAGATATCCCTGCTTTACAAAGTCAGCTCCTTCCACTCAGTGCTGACATTCATTGATTTACTGTTCTTCACCCAACACTGCAATTAGAAAGGAAAGCTCACAAATTTCTGGACACACAGTCAGCGGAAGAGTCATACAGGACTACCTGGTGGGTTGCACATATAGAATGAGATGAAAAAAAAATCAAATCAGAATTTCATTTAGAGGGGCTTTCAGTCAATGCTTTCCAACTTAAGAACAGCATGAGGGACTGGACAGACTGTAGGGGATGCACTTGGAAGCCATTAACACACATCATTTATTCTGCTAAACTGTCCTTTGATATTGCATGGCACTGAATGCAATAGAATTCTCAGTCCACAATGATCTCCAAGCTGCTACTGGAATACAAAGAGATTCAAATAATGATAAGCAACATAAATATCTGAAATCAGCACTTTTTTCTACAACAGCTGGATTTTCACCAATTTCCTTCAACTTGTGTTCAGCTAACAGAGATTCTCCAAGTTAATGGAAAAGAGTTAATGATCCCCAAAACAGGACATACCTCCTAGAATCCAGTATCAGCCTAGATAAGCAGTTTTGACAGGCAGGATAGATGAAACAGGAATTCTGGATGGAAATCACAGAGGCAGCCAAAAGTCCCTTCACACTACTCATGTTCTCAGAGCTTCACCTGAAACGAGTAAGTTGAAATGATTTGAGGAGTTCTCATTTTATGAGATGTTAATATTAACTGCTTTTAGTTGGGTTGCTTGAACACTTTAAAAAACAGCCCTCAGGAAAAAATGACCATTGTTTGAATAATAACTCAATTAAAGTAACATCTATTATTACCCCTAATTAACTCTTTAAAAAGAGAAAAAAAAAAGGATGAAGCTACGTAATAAGAAGGAAGCGTTCACGGCATTGCACACTATTGCAGACAGATCATACAAATTCTCATTTGTATTTAGGGAATCTTTAGTCTAACTAACCTTGAATGCAGCACTACAGCAAATCACTTTCTGATTTTTTTCCTTAATTTAGAGTGAAGTCACAACATGAGGTTAAAAACTGAAATGATTCTACACTTGTAATTCTGCAAACACTGGTCTTCAACTCAGAACTAGAGAAACAAAGCTTACATTTTTTTTTTTACCTGCACTTTTAAAAGACATTAGAAAAAAACAAAAACGCATCCCAAAAAGCAGAAAACACTGCAAATATTCCATTGAAATACGAGGGATATAACGCAGCATGTAAGTGCTCACGCAGGTTCTGGCAAGGGTAAAGAGACTCAAGATCTGCAGCTCTATTTCTCTTTGGAAGAAATACAAAACTCGTTGTCTGGACACAAGTTAAAAGAGCACAGTACAAACAGATCTGTTTTACTTTAATTTTTTGTAATAAACAAACCAACCCAAACCTCAGCGCTCGGCCGGGGAACCACGAGCCCTCCAGCTGCTCCCGCCGCACTCGCTGCCTCTCGGCAGCCCCGCTCTCCCTGCGGCTCCCGCCGGTGCCTGGTGCCCCCTAGTGATCCTGCCGCCTCGCTTTCTCCCTGAGGAAAAGCAAAACACGAGTCGTTAACACGCCTCACACCCAGTTTTCCCCCCCTGAGCCTCCCTCCACTGGCAGGGCCGGGCCGACCCAGCCTGGCGGGGTCGGGGCTACGCTCGATGCCCCCGGCTCACCCCGGCCCTGAGGCCAGCGCGGAAGGGCGGAAGTGCGGGCTGCTGCGGGCCCCTGGTGGGGGCGGGACGAGGCGGCGCTCATCCAATCGTGACTCAGCGGGACGGCAGGGCGACCCGGCTCTCCCAATCACAACGCACGGAGGGGTCAGCGCGCGCACAAGACACGCAGCGCCGAGGTGGGCGGATCGCGTGCTCCGCGTAGCCAATCGCTGTCCCCTCGCGGGTAATCGCGCGCCCGAAACACCTGTTGAAGTGGCCTCAGCCAACCGCGAACGGGCGCGCGAGCTCATCCCCGACTGCCCAGCCAATCAGAAGGCTCCGCTGCTCAGTGCCCGCCCCTGCACGTGCCGGGCTGGCCCCGCCCCCCGCCGGGTCCCGCTCGGGGCAGCCCCGGCCGGGAGCGGGGCCAGGATAAAGCGCTGATCCTTCTCCTTCTCGTCCTCCTTCTCCTTCTTCTCCTTCTTCTCCTTCTGCCCGCCGTAATGCTGCGGCTCCTCCTGGTTCTTCCGCTCCTCGGCGCGGCCGGCGCCCTGCCCGCCCCTCCCCGCCTCCGCAGGGGCACCGCGCCGGCAGCTGGACCATACCGGACGCGCTACCTGAGCCAGCCGGTACCTGGGAGCCGGGGGTGGGCGGGAGGGGGTTTTCGTGGGCATGCGGATGGCATTGTCCACTGTCACTAGCCTCACTTGAGACATAGGTGGGACAGGACTATCCGCAGGTTTCTGAGTGTATCGGAACACTCCATTACTAATTATTTATAAAAAAACACTCAGTGCTCAGTCGCTTTGGTAAAATGCTCCAAGCCTTGAATATTCCATTTAAAAGTGCAACTATTTAGAGTATTAGGTAGTCTGCTCTCTTGCGTGTCTGTACACCGTATCCTGACAGCGGGGTCCGTATTCCAGCACATCCTGCTCGGCAGCGAGGGGCCGGGGACCGCGGCTGTGCCCTGGTGGTGTTTGCAAACATCAGCTGTGTGATTTATTTTGTTTTCTTTATCACAGAATGGTTCGGGTTGGAAGGAACCTTAAAGATCATGTAGTTCTAACCCTTCTCCCAGCCCTGGGCAGGGACAGCTTTCACTAGATGAAATATGGAAAAGATTTCTGTTACTAACCTGATCTTTGTCATCCTGTCTGTTCTCCCAATTTGTTTGCAAAATCCATAGCTCGTGGACAGAACAGAGGGCTCTGCAACACTGGCTTCAAGTGTTGGTTTGGTTTCCTTGGGTAAGACTTGGACCCCTGCTTGTTCGTAGGTTTTCACAAAAACAGTCAGCAGATCCTTTTGATGTGTTGAGGAAGATCTGTGTTGTCACCTCTGCTGTACCTGGTTTTCACGGGGGAGGTAATGGTTCCTTATACTGGGAGGTACAGTAAGGGAAGAGGATGTTTTTCGAGCATTCTCTTGATTTGTTTAGAATCAGGCTTGTCGCGTGCATCTAAATTTCATGCTCTGGTCTACATACGGAGTGGTGGGAAGGAGGTGTTTAATTCACAGGCATGGAATAATTTAGGTTAAGATCAAGTCCAGCTGTTAACCCAGCACTACCAAGTTCACCACTAACCACATCTCCAAGTGCCACGTCTACACTCCTTTAAACACCTCCAGGGTTGTTGATTCAACCACCTCCCTGTGCACCCTGTTCCAATGCTTGATAACTATGTCAGTGAATAATTTTTTGTTAATATCTTATGTAAACCTCTGCTGGTGCAACTTGTGGCTGGGCATCTTGGGTGATATGTGGATTGAATATCTCCTATTTCAGCTTTGTAGAAGGTGAACTTAATGATGGAGTGAGCAAGATGGGAAGATTACACTTCCAGAGATAATAGACATGAAGAAAACAGAGAACCCTTTTAAGGTTATCTTGAATAGCTATGGAATAATTTGAGAATCAAGATGCCTGTTATTTGAGGTGAGAGATAGATTGGGAACAATTTTAGTGAGAAATCCATCCTTTGAGGTTATAACCTTCTGCAGACAGTGTTATTGGTTTGGGAATGCTCCTGTTCCAGTGATCTCCCTGCATAAATCACGGAATTTCTGTGTCTTGAAAACATCTCTGTCTAATGCTCTCTCAAGTAGTGATTTGAGATTTGTGTCTCTCAATTAACCCTTCTAACAGCCCTGAATCTTATTTTTGTAACATACTGCAAATATCTTCCACAGCGTGTGGTCAGCCTTGGCCAGGATATCAATCCTGTAGTGGTGGTGTAACTCTTAATTGTTCTGGCACACCGGTTACACATTGTTATCATGGTATCAGTGATTCTAATTCTGTGCCGCGGTCTGAACCGCCCTTTGTCACCATGCCGTGACACCTCTGTCCTCATCTCCTCCCTGACTTGTGGTGTCACCTGTTTTTTCTCCTCAGCTCTCGGCAGAGACAGCCTATGTGCCTTCCAGTCGCCAGCAAAGTGGCTGAGGGGCTGTGTAGCTGAGATATGTGGATTTTGGGATGTAGATAGGTGTTGAGAGAAGGGAGGAAAGTGCCACATCGTGTTGTAAAGTTGATGCCACGTGCTGTTCTCTTCAGTCTCTTCCTTGTTCTCTTCCTCTCATGCTTCAAGCAAAATCATGTCAGCTGAGAGTGGCTGCTGCGGGAAAGAGGGAGCCTATGTGCAGGCCTTGACATCCTTGTTGTCCTTGTCGGAAAACTTACTAGTATTGTTGAACAGGGTGGGAGGTGTGTATATGTTAATGTATTTTTCATATTCACCAAAGATTTGATTGCTGCTGCCTGGCACTTGGAAGATACAGGGGTAGCATGAGAGGTCTGATCACACAGGGGCTGTAAGACTGCTCTTTATCAGTAACATAGTGTGTAGAACTGCATTCTCTCCTTATGAAACACGCACTGAGAGCTGCTGTCTGTAATTACATTGTTATTCTGTAGTGGAACATAAATGCTATGATTAACGTGTTAAATAGGAGTGGTGATACTTTGCCACCTCTCAGGATTGTTGAAGTTTAATTATTTACATTATATTTACTTAGAGCTCATGAATGAATCATTTGCTTATGTTCCATGCTGTTGAGTCTTTCTCCTTAGATAAGGATCCTGTTTTCATTCTTGTTTCTCTCTTTGATGGTTTTCATTATAAGTTGGAATAATTTATATAAAACCATCCAATATAAAAAATACTTTATAAGATGGCAAAATGTTGTGCTCACAAAGGAAACATTTTTATACCTATTTATATTAAAAATATATTTAAATAGACTCTTTAAAGGTTTTATATTTCTACAAACGAAAATGTTAAAAGTCTAAACAGATTCTGTGCATGAATTTTGTTGCTTAAAAAGTTACCTCTTGAGCACTGTGAATAATTTATTAATGTTGCACATTGGAGAACTGAGGCTCAGAATTTTCATGTGCAGTTCCAACCTCTAACCTTCCAACCTCTTGGCATGAAGGGCTATAGACCTGTAGCATTGCTTGAGGGTCAGCTTTTACTGAGAATCAATGATATTTAAATCTACTTTTATAAAAATGGAGAAATAACATGAAATAACAGAATTCAGCTCAATGCTGATTTGCATTGAACTTCCTCCTATTTACAGTTTTAAGTTTCAGACATCCCTGATGACAGGGCTAAAAGTCTAGAATATTGAGAAATAGGTCAAGCAGTGCCTGTGTCAGTGTGACGAGTGCCTTTGCTTGCTTGCTGGCCTTTCTGTCCTTAGCAACCCTTATCAGTAGATGGCCCTTGAAGCAGAAACTCTGCAATCACCCTCATCTTTACATCAACAAATTGTATCTATATTGGGGACGTTGATATTGGTCTCTTTTTGAGTGCTGATGTACTAGCGTGACTTCTGCATTCAAGTCTGTTCTCACTTCCACTTTGGTATTTTGCTTGCTTGCTAAAAGATTGCTTGTGATTTGTGTGTTAAATTAATCCATCCAAAACTGAACTTTACAGAGAGTGTAGGAAGTATAGAGCTGCAGAAAGACCACTACAGTCTGGATGGTTTCTTTGTAAGCAGCTGTGTCTGTGACCATGGTTCAAATTTATTGGAAGGATTTGGTGAGGCAGCCAAGAGCCATCTACTTCTCTTTACCCAAGTAGAAATAATCTTAGAGCATACTGGGGAGGGTCTTGAGTCAGGCAGCTGCTCTGGCCTTTGTGTGGCCTTGCTTTGTACTTCTGTATCCCTGTCTTTAGCACAAATACCAGTGTTACAAAAAACATAGCCTGAGAGCTTGTGGTGGTTTATGTGCAGTACCGCTGAGAGAATGAAGCCTTAAATTTCCTGATATTTGAAGACTTCTCAGTGATCAACTGTCATCTTAGAAAAGAGAGATATCTCTTTTATCTCTTCACTCAATTTGATAATTGATGGCTGCATGAGCCTTAATGTGCTCTCAGACCCTTCCCCACAATCACACTTTGTAAGCACACACTTTGCTTTGTGAACTGCTATGAATTTGTCTAAGAACCAATCTAACAAGTACAAAGTAATTTTTGTTCAGCAACTTAGTGAGCCTGGTCCTTCAATCAGATTGAACTAATACATGTCAATTGTCTCATTCTTTCCAAAAGAAAAGTTCTGATTGCATTTAATAACCTCCTATATTTCACACCTATGTCAGTATTTCATAGCTTAGTCAATTCACATGCAAGTCTTTGTGCTCTGAAATGCATCTACACTTCATATTGTGTGTACATAAAAGGAAGCTATCTTGAAGCTTCAAAGTAATGAAGTTGAAAAAGTAATGCAATTTGATCCTTTCTGGCTATATCAGGAGTCTTTAATACCCTATTTTGTGTTACAGGCTGAAGTTCTGAAGCATAGAAAATGAAAGCTTTGATTGAAAATGCGAAAATTAGAACACAAGTTTCAAGCTAGAAAAGAATTTGAGGACTACAAAGGGGAAGGGAAGATATATTTTTTTCAGACATGATTTTTTCTATTTTACAGAAAGGACCAATTGAAAGGAAGTGCATGAATAAAAAATTTTCCTGCTCTAACTAGAAATCAGTACTACATCAAAAATCAGTTTGAATTCAGGCAGGTTACTTCATGAATGTGCTCAGTAAAGAAAATGTGGTGACTTTTTATAACACCACAGACTTTTTATAGCAGTGTTGTCTTAGTTTGTCAAATTAATCAAAACTGAGGGTGCAGTTTTGCTCTTAAAAAAATGTTCCATCTCTTGTACTCACAAGAAGGAAATTTGCATTTATGGAACAACATATTCTTCATCCAATTCAGCATTTTTCAGTATTTGAAATTTTCACCGTTGTTGGTAAAAGTGACACTAAAAACGTGTATACAACAGTTATATATAAATGTTTTTAAAGTTAAGAGAGTAGTTTTCAACCATGGGTCTAAAACTTGCTTAAAAAGGTATTGAGATGGATTGAGGTTATCATTTTTAATTGTGGTTAGCAGCTTTTTTAGCATCTTATTGTGACTCAGGTTGGTGTCTCAGAATAGTAACAGATGTCGGGAATGGTTAAGATGGGTTTGTTTTTCATGCCTGGCACCATAATACAATAGCACTTTTGACTTCTGGTGAAGGAAAAAACAAAGTGCTTTTTACAGAGCCCCTTGGTACCAATTAAAAGTTATGCCGGTGTTTAGAGAAGAAGTGATG